TTATTGTCACGACATTATCGGGAAAAGCTTAGGAATTCTTATTATTCTTAAAATACCTTTTATTCGTGCAATATTAGGTTGATGTTCAGTGTTAATCACTAGAAAGTCACGAGCAATACATACTTTATTACCACCATCTCCCTTGAACAAAACTCTAACTACAGCATTTGAAATAGGTATGTATATTTGAATGAACGCAACAGGCGATAAGTTTTAAATCGTTCTATAAAACTTAACAATCGTCAGATAGTGTAAAGAACTGCACTCTAAAAAAGACTTGTCCCAATCAAATGTAGAAACATTAGTGAGTGTCGAATGCCACGCGTTAAATTTCATACAAGCTAACCGTATGATACGAACTCGATATGCACTAACAATCGCTTCGGTAAGATATTGTGTTGCAAACCGAATAATGTTCACTCGAAGTTGTTAAACCCATATTTAATAAATGAAAAACTAAAAGATGAACCTGTTTTTTGATGGTTATTCACATACGATAAAAGGTATAAGGGAGTGCAGGGGATTCCCTGCCCTCCCTTATACCTTTATGTGGGTGACACGAGAATGATGAACTCAAAAGACATTAGTCCTGGACAACTTTTGAGTGCGGCTTCAAGAACTCTTATAATTACGATACAGATTATATCGACAGATATAATCTATAAGATCATTTGAGCCTCTCAACCACAACCCTCTCTGTTTTGAGTGGTGTTTCAAGGACTCCTTAAAACGCAATACTGGTATATCGATAGGTATAACACAGACCTGTGTGGAAATCGAATTTGCGACACCCTTAACGCTGAAACGCTAAGGGATTAATGAATATTATTCACGCAATATTTGTCTCACATTGTCTTATCCTATTGCATATTACGTTATTAAACGCTATTGGATATGATTATTTACTGACCTGTAAGATAAATTTACTAAAGGCACATTACTTACCTATCAAGATCCAAAATAACGGTTTCTATAGTTCCCCTACCCTCCCTGTTTAATAAACATTCTTAAGCCATCCTTTAAGCCGTCTCTTTTACCAGCTCCTCTGCACAAACTATAAGCATGTGTCCTCCATAACTGTATATACGTAGAACCTACATTGATAATTCACATTTTACTTTTTCTACAAGTTTTAAAATTCTAATGTTTCAACAGAGATTAGCTATCTAAAATTTCTATTTCATATAGGAACGTCTTTGGTCCTAATTATCGTTGTAAAACGATATTTGAAATTGTTTGTATGCCGTAAAAGATTTAAAAATAGTGCATTGCTTGAAATACGGAAAAAGCAATGTATGAAATAACAGATTCAAAGATTTTATTCCACGGAAATTATTTTGTACATGATCTCAGCACTGGACGTTTACATAAATATACTTTCCACAAATAAAATGTAACAATCACGCTACCTGATTGTTACATAAGTTACTTTACTTGGTTTAGATTGTAATTCTACGAAATGATCATAAAAGTTAATGCGACGGTTTTGAGTCATAAGCCGAAAAACGTAAAAAGGTGCCGGTCAAAGATGTTCATAATATTTATGCGAAAAGAGTGTTATTAACTTATTACGTTATAGTCGCAATTTGCGGTTACTGTGTCGTTCGTAATTATGTTAAAACCTTGAAACAATTGCAAAATGCTATTGCTATACAGTTTTAATTTGATAAATTACTGTAAACTATATATATTTTGTTGATTTTTTCCCATTGATGTTAAGTATTTAGTATTGTAGTATAGTACTTTACTTGTATTTACATTGATATTTAGTGTATTTACACTAAATACTTCGTGTTATGGCTTTTAAGGTAAAAATCTGTCAAATTCCCAATTGTCGGATCTTCCAAAAGGTCAGAGTTTTTAATCCTTTCCAGGGTTCCATACCCAAAGGCTAAGATGGGATCCTATTATAGACTGTCTGTCTGTTTGTCACCAGGCTGTATCTCATGAACCGTGAATGACAGTTTAAATATTCACAGATGTATTTCTGTTAACGTTTTTTTACTTACGTTTAAGCTCTGTATTAGTTGGTGTTGATTTTTGTTTTTTATTTATCTTTCATCTGTTTTTGTTGGCTATGTTTTATGACCTCCACGTGTGTTTCTACGACTTTATAATTATTTGCTGTATACTTGTTTGTTCGGGATTTATTTGCTTTATTTTTGTTGTTTTTTTTTTGTTTTTCATTTATTTGTAATTAAAGTTCGCGTTAGTCAATTTATATCCATGTGTTACATGTTGTCACGAGGCCAACGTGGACATTCGGTTCGTTGCAGTTTATGCACGGACATAGAGAGCATCTTCATCAGCTTATGACGAATGCAATAGATTTGAATGTGACAATTAAGAGAATAATACATCGGTGATTAATTATAATCAGCTTAAAATTAACGCTAGCATATTAAATGTACTTGTTTTACCCCAGTTCTTACTTCGTTCAATAGATAAACGGCGACTTTTTTTCGAGACGTCTTAGATTAATGGAGGTATATGTTGTTATCCATACTTAATATTATAAATGCGAAAGTAACTCTGTCTGTCTCGCTTTCACGCCAAAATTACTGAACCGATTGAAATGAAATTTGGTACACAGATAGTCTAGAGCCTGAGAAAGGACATAGGCTATTTTTAATTGAAAAAAAGTGTTGTAAGGCGTTGAAAATATCTTTCTTAAAAATATATATAGTTTTTAAAGAAATATATTTACGAGTATTTAGGGGTTTCAAGGCGAGCGAAGCCGCGGGCGAAGAGCTAGAACCTAATAAATAGTATTTTAGCAGGAGCGTTACTAGAGATAACAGAAGGTTACAGTTCACACGTCCGTATATCTGGATATCTTAAAAGGTCATCGTCAATATTAAAATCACGTGGCGCCAATCACGAGTATGACTTCAATTAGATAAACTGAACTAGTATTGCGACACGACAAATATGAATTTTATGCGCACGTGTCCTTAACTCTTCACGCCAAAGCTATAACCCAATTAAATATGAAAATGCTAACACCACAGCTTCCGCTATTGCATATTATTAGGCATTAAGTTCGCCCTTTGTAGTCATTTTTATTTAAAGGTTGCAATAAAGTATAAATAAAATAAATAAATAAATATTATAGGCAGGCTCGTCCAGAGAAATACCAGCGTGAGGTAGAAGTATTACACCGGGACCCATTTCCTATGAACCTCCATGGTTGACTGGAAGAAAATGCTATTTAGCGTTAAGTTCCAATCGGTACAAATGTTTTAGTGCAATAATTTCAATCAGTCAACCAATAAAGGGTGGCGGTAATCTGTAAACAGAATGACTTGATCAGGCAATTCTCACAGTTTCGCAGAAAACCGGCGATAAAATAAGGAATAATAAAAAAATGGCGTCACCGAGGGCAAGGTGGGCAGGTGAAACGTTAATAACTCGTTTGCTAACTTTTTTTTAAAAAAGGCCGAGGTCGTCGCTGATAATTTGTTCCCACAATCTCATACATGTTGACGCCAGCTGAATCCATAATATTTGTAAAACAACCGCATTATCTTTACTCTAAAGTCAAATTAGGCTTGATGGATTTCGTCATTCCTCATTTAGGAATATTTCAACACATAATGGATTTATTATTGATCATACATTTGAGATCCAATTAAGTCATGATTCTCATATTAGTTACAAACATAATTAGTGATACAATTACTAAAAAATTATAATTTTATATAGATTGTCATTAATTCAGATTGTTAATTTTAAATGTTTAATGTATCTGTTATATTATATTAACATATCGTTACTACTTAAAGCTAAAAAAATAATAATCAAGTCTTTATTCGTTCTGTTAAACTTAATAGCAATTTACAATTAAGTTCTAATCTATTCTTGTCTTCATTAAAAAGTAAATTGAAAAATCATATTTCTTTTAATGTTACGTTGTAATATATCATAAACAGCATAATCTTGTATAATGTAATATTATTATTTAAATCTCACAAGAGTAATAAAAAGCTAAAATATTTAATACAACTCCGCTGAACGAAATTTGGTTGATTTTTTAAATATGTTTCATTACTCATCCGATAACAGTTCTTCTATTTCACATTAATATTACCTGAAGAAACCTGTATATTTTCGAAATAATAACGAAAATAAAAAAATATTCCGAAATATGTGAAGTCCACCGCAGTGGGGCCGCGTGGTATAGTCTATCATTGTCTACCGCGTGGTATAACCCTAATACCCTCTGATGCCTCTGCCTTGCAGTGGGACATTTAAAGGCGGTTACATTTCTTTTACCTTTATTATCCTTTATCTCATCTGTAATCATTTGCATCATCTGAAAGGTGCAATTATAATAAGATTAGTAAATTTTTCAATTCCCAAATATTCAAAATATAATATTTACCGTATGTGACATATTTTTAACCGACTTCAAAAGGAGGACGTTCTCAATTCGACTGTATTTTTTTATGTTTGTTACCTCAGAACTTTTCGACATAGTGGACAGATTTCGATGATTCTTTTTTTATTTGAAAGCTGGTGCTTTGCATGTGATGCCAGATTTCATTGGTATTGGATCTTGGGCTCCGGAGATACGTAGGGAACTCCTAAAATCAATTACAAAATGAATGCAGAGCGAGATATTTGAAGTCAGTTTTCTTTTTAAATTTACTTCGGATCGCATACAGAACATTACACTTGAACATTTTCTATAGATACAAGTTTAAAAAGATATATTGTATTACATAAGTGAATATTCCAATATAAGCGAACACATCATGTACATATAAATAATGCTCTCAACATGTAGGTATACAAGTATTCAAATTATGTCAAATAGAAAATTTAAACTTAAAAATAATTTAATAAACATAGAAAAAAAAATCTACGAAAAAAATAATAACAATGAATGCAGTTAGTAACTAAAAAAAATAATCAAAACTATAAAAATTATAAAAATAATTGTTTTTGTTAGTAAAAAAATGGTTGTAATATGCAAAATTTCTTATCCTTGTTTACAGAAGATGTTCCGCTTCTGTATTCTTATCCACGTCCTCGCGTACCTGCACAACACGCAGGGAAATCTGATCTCAAACGATTTGACCAACGACAGGGAAATGCTGCTAGCATTTATTGTAAGTATTCTTGTACATAAACTATACGATACGATAGAAAGCCTTGACTCCATATCCCGAGCCAAAGTTCATGCCTTCTAAACATGTCTTTATTCATTAATTTACTAATAGCTGTCATATATCAAGAAACTGGCTTTATTTTTTCTTTTTATACTTTTAATTAAACATATTTGCATGGATTATTATGGAACTTTGGAATTGTTTGTACCATCTGAAACTGTGATAAAGGCGAGCTATTTATTATTAATATTCACTTGTTATAGTCGACGCTTTGGTTAATTTTTAGTCTTTCTCCATTCTGTCCGCAGCTGGTAGAGTATAACCCAGAGAGGTTGTGGCCGTTAAACCATTTTCTTAATAATGTAGAATAAATTTGAAGGTCAACCGGCACGGTGAGCGGACTCCCGACAGCGACGAGTTGTCACTTTCCAACGAGAAGGAGAAGATCATGAACCTCACTCACATCGAAGGCCTGGAAGGGCTCACAAATGTAAGCTGGAGTCAATTGTTTTTTTACTGAGCTGGCGTGTTTATCATTTACGGCAATAATGAAATAGAACGTCCATCAAGTATTGGCCTGTCGTTTAATGTTAGATAATCAAAAAAAGGTTCGTTCGCTTAAATCGGAATCCTTAAAATTTCTTAGAAGTGAATGTTTTGTGTATAATATTAAGATCGATGTCATAAACTGCTATTTTGTAATACATTAATACGTCTTACTTATTACTACTTAATAGCAATACATACACACATACATCTTTGTAAAACGAGTTTAGTCACGCTCTGAAATGTAATACAAAATTATTAAGCATCGAATTAAGATCTCTATTCTTTGTCACGTCAACATTTGATTTTTATATTTACATTCTTACACATCATCACATATCTATAATTTTTTTTTCAATTTCATGATTCCTACTGTGGTATATAAGTACATTAATTGTATTCTAATGACCAAGGCTTAAACGTCGTGCCGGCATCAAAGTAATTGTTAATTGCATTATCACACCCAACATACTGAGACTGTTATTTTATTTTGCAAATTACTGGCATTATACTTATATTCTCTTTTGATGATTATTTTGTCCACTATAAGTATTTAAAAATAAAATTTCAATTATTCGGGAATATCCATTCAGAATGCTGCCTTACAATGAACTTTACTTTTAACGGTGGTAGGGCCACGCAGCAGCCTCGGCTGTTGCACGAATGGGCAGGCCCGTCCGGATAAGTACCACGACCTCACAGAAGACCAGCGTAAAGTGGAAGTATGACAAATACTTTCGCGTTTCGTCTGGTGAGTGAGGTAGCCGGAGCCCAATTTTCAAAAGGTTGTCAACGCATCTGTAACCCTCGAGTGTGGCAGATGTCCATGGGCGGCGGTATTCCCTTAACATCATGTGAACCGTCTGCTCGTTTGAAAAATTTTCGCATATAAAAAAAAAAAAAAAAAAACTTAAATATGCTAGAAACAGTTAATAAAAACGAACCGTGAATTTGATTTGTACTTTGTTCAAGTATTGACCGTGAAATTAAGTGTTTAAAAAAATTAAGGCGGAACTCAAGGACCGTCTTATCATGAGATTGTTGTATCTAATGTAAACAAACAATACGTGTATTCGTTATTGAATCAAAAGTGTGCATTTTAGAAGTTTATGTGTATGTAAGAGTACATTTGGAACCACTGTATGTATTTGAACGATACTTTCACTCTTTGAAATGTGTAGTGGATATTTGCGACTAACTGAAACATAATTTTTTTTGTAATTTTTTTTAAAACATCGCTTGAGGAGTTGATTGAAAATGTAAACTCAAACCAAATACGGCAAAGTCTATATCACTTGTTCTGAACTGGCAAACAGGCCTTGTGCTAAAATAAAGGCCCTTTTTAAGTGCTCTAAAAATACGATACAGTATAAAATAAGTAGCAGGCACAATGCAAAGTCGGTTTCCAAATAGGCAGCTTTTATATAATATTTATATATATATATATATATATATATATATACTATGACTTTGTTTCGATAGGTGCTTGTCCAAGCAATAGTTATATAACGTGACGTGTGATTAGGAAATTAAGTAATCAGTCCAGCCATAAATTGAATTCATCTTAGCATCAATATTAACGTAATTCTTATACGATATTTTGTCCTGCTTTGTGGAGATGTGGTGGAACCGTGATAAAATTTGAATAATAATAATAATAATACCCCTAACCCTCGGCCGTTATGTCTACCCTGCCGAGGGCTTCCGTCTGGTTGGGTCCTATTTATATATGTATTATATACAATATTTATATCTATATATTTATTTTTATTCATAATATTTATTTTATATATGAAATATATATCTATATGTTTATTTTTTATCTATAAACCGAACCAGACGAGAAAACAAACGAATATCCCCATAATACTCACAACATATGACAATACGAAACATCTTGGTTGGTACAGCTTCAGTAAAATTAATATCTTCGAAATTTAACAAGAGAAATAAATCTTTAGAGACATGTGAAATCTGCCAGTCCACATTTAGTTCACGCGTTGAACATTGTTCCAATCCCCATTGATGGGAATCCTGTGCCAAGCATTAGGATATTTACATACATGTATAGGTTTTTGCTAACGAATAGGTTGTATTTTACAGCTTGGCAAACGCCGGGCCTATCAAATCGGTAAGTTTATCAGGCAACGCTACGGCTGTCAAGGATCAAAGATGCTGTCAAATATCTATTTCCAAGACGAGATATCAGTGAGGAGCACTGACAAGGAGAGAACGAAAATGACAGCGCTGGTCGCGATGGCGGCTGCCTACCCCCCGGAAGTGGAACAGCAGTGGGATGAGGGCCTGGGCAAGGTCTGGCAACCGGTGCCGTACACAGCTGTGCCTTTGCGTGAAGACTATGTGAGTATGATAAATCTCTGTTAGTAATAGTCCCCATATTCTCCAACTCTGGATCCTCATATGCATATTTGAACAGATAAATATATTCTATTCTATTCTCAAAGTTCGATTCAAACTGGATGATTATTGAAAATTTTCATTCGTAATGAATTTATTTAGTTAAAGTTGGTCATACATGTCTGCTCTTTCTGTTTATATATGGATTAAAATCTCCCTTTTAAAGATTATTGTGTAACATCTCTACGAATTTGGACCAAAGACAGAGATCAGCGACTGCGTTCATGAACTATACAATTTTTTTTCGGTAAAGTATTGTGAGTTGTAGTGTGCACCACAAAGCAGTAGAGCCATAGAGTTATTACTACCTATACTGTACGCCGGTCTTCCGTCTGGTAGTGGAACTTTTCCACAATTTACCTCGCAACTAACTGCAAAAGCTACCACATGGCTCTTCAACGTTGCAATCGTAACATTTTGAACACATTTGTTATCACCAATGAAATTCGCTGCAACTAGGCCCCATTATCAGATAATTGCGACAATTGTACTCCATAAATTTGTTCGGGTTTTTTTACGACACACGATTAACATTAGTCCCGTTATCACTTATCGTTCGTCCTTAATAGCTTAATCTTGATTAGGTTAAGTTAAACGATTAAGGTTAAAATAACTTGAAAGATATTGTAACTCTATGATTTCTACATACCTATATTCGTTCTCAATGAAATAATGTAATTTTTTTCTATCTGTCAGTAGCGCCGTATATTAAATTAGAGAATATTACGTGTTAATTTCAAAATGATAATAAACTGTAGCTGTAATACTAAAGTTGACCTATTTTAGACTCTTAAAATATTAATGAAAATAATTAAATGATATTATTATTACATTATGTAAAATCAAGGAAATTGAGATAAAACTCTAGTTTCTCTCAGTTATTTCTAAGAATAATCTCAGAAATAAACATTATTCACATACACACGTACATAAATATATATTTATATATATATATATATATATATATATATATATATATATATATATATATATATATATAATATATATATTTATATATATATATATATATATTGATAAAGATTTTCTGTCTTCGTTAGTTCGCTAGTGTTAGTTTATTTGTTTTTTTAAATAAAGCGGGTAATCTTCCATGTAATCAAATTGATTTACCATCAATTCTGACTTCAATACTTATATTTTTAAATAGAATGTAAAGATAATATCGTTAATATACTACCAAATTCGAAAAGTGAAGATGATAGAATATAATAGATATCTAAATAGTTGACTTCAAGTTATAGTGTTGTAGTGTTAATATTCTCGTAGTTTGGTGCGACATATAAGCGTTACAGAAACTAAGAATGGGCAGGTCCGTCCGGGGAAGTACCTCACAGTCTAGTGAGTGAGGTAACCGGGGCCTATTTAATTAAAAGGTGGCAATGTATATGCAACGCTACAGGTACTGGAAATGTCTTTGGGCGGCGTCAATTGACGGTGGTACGGCCACGCAGCAGCCTCGGCTAGTGCACAAATGGCCAGGCTCGTCCGGGTAAGTACCACGCCCTCACAGAAGGCCGCCGTAAAGTGGAAGTATAATACTTTCGCGTTTCGTCTGGTGATTGAGGTAGCCGGAGCCCAATTTTCAAAAGTTGTCAACGCATCTGCACCATCGGGTGTAGCAGATGTCCATGGGCGGCTGTATTCACATAACATCAGGTGAACCGTCTGCTCGCTTGCCACCTGCTCACATTAAAAATAATCTTGTTTACGCGTGCGAAGCCAGGGTGAGCAAGCTAGCTATCGTATAAATCACTTATATGATTCGTGTTCGGATTATTTGTTACGCATGATTTTAACTTGAACTCTACAGTGATAACGGTAATGCATATCTCGTAGCATCGGATAAACTGTTTTTGTTTAGAAGCGGCGATAGTATCGACCTCTTCCAATATCACCGCAACCAATAATTATCCTATCTGTCTTGTCTAAGAATATCCTCAATGATATATTTTTATTATTGTAAGAAAATTTTATTATGTTTTATTTATGAGAAAAGGGGAATTTTTTATGGGAATTTTTTTTTGTTTCACATAAAAAACATACTAGCTTCGACTCAATGTATGCTTTATATATCTAACGGAATATTTTATTGTTAGCTTTGTTAGCAGCTTTCAAGTGTTTGAATATTTTATAGTGCTGTATGCATATCATCGGCTCGTGGTTACAAGCAGTTAGATATTCATATTTTTTCGGTTATAACTGCTTTTGTTTTATGTCTTTTATAAAAAAAATGGAATGTTTGCGTTGTTTTTTTCTTCAATATATTTTTTTACTTCATAAATTCAGTCGATGATGATGATGATACAGTATAGTATAAACGGAAAATATTTACATTCAAAGGGACATCAGTTGAAATTATGAAAATATATGAAACCAAAAGTTGAGTTCTTTATGCACATGAGGACACGAATTTGGGGCGTGCCTCTTTAAAGACACGAGTCGGTCAATGTTTCTTGCCTTCGTGGCAATGTGACTTGAATGTGACTTGAAATGTGACTTTTTCAGCTGCGCTATTACTCCAACTGCCAGAGGTTCAAAGAGCTGATGGAAGGTGTAAAACGCGAGTCCGTCCACGAGGAGTTCACCGCCTTCAGTGACCTGATACCACTTCTGAAGGCGCAGACGGGGCGGAATTTCACCGACAACCCCCTAATGTTCCAGACCCTCTTCGATTTGTTCAGGAGTCAGGTGATTGTTTTCATAAGAACACTAGCTGTTTACCGCGGCTTCGCCCGCGCGGCCAAAGGGAATTAACAATGAGTTTCTTATTTCACACCAGAATACCTCGCAGATGGCTGAATGTTTTGACGCTTATCATTACCTATATTTTGGACAATTCACATAATATCTTTATAAATTATAACCTATGTGTTATTCTGGTGTATACGTTATATTATTGTAAAGTTTCGTTAAAATCTATTCAGTAGTTTTTGCGTGAAGGAGTAACAAACATCCATACATACAAACTTTCGCGTTTATAATATTAGTAAGGAAGTAAGGATTTGGCAAAGGGAAGCACGGTGCACCAGATGGTAAGCAATCGCTGCCGTCCAAAGACATTTGACATGTCCGTAGGATCCAAGATGTGTTTCGTTTGTTACATGACATACTGGTACTTCGAAGAGTATAAATATTACAGAAGTGGTAAAGTAGATATCTTCGCAAAAGTGTAAATATTACAGTAGTAATAAAGGACAAACTTTAACCTTATCGTTCGTGACACATTAGTGCATTAATGCAACGGCGGTTAATTTGTCTTGTATCTTATTATATATACGACCTGTATATATCTGTGCATATATGTTTGGGTATATTTAGAGCTTGTAGCGGAATAATGTAATTAATGTTGTATATAAAGGAATGTAGTCCTTTCCATCAGTCACAGACATCAGAATAATTTATATTATAATGTAATAATTAAGGACTGATGAAAGTACAACATTTGCGTTATTACGACTAGCTACCATCAGGTTTTTGGATGAACACATTTACAGGTATTAATATCATATATTTTATATCTTCAATTTTATAACATTAGGAAAGCCAACTATGCCATATTTAGCTAGTTTATAAAATGTTAGGTTAAACTTAGCAAAGGACTGCTAGAAGTGAGAGAATTTAGCTCCCTTCATTTCGAACACTTTACGGAAATAATTATTATGTTTTAGAACCGGGGTAACGCGTTTAGCATCACCTTACTAAAACCACTTACTTCTATGATATGCTGCAATGTGCTTGAAACTTGCGTCGAGATTTAAATACTGAACACCGCAAAATATAATAGTTTCAAAAATGCGAATTACATAAAATTCATACCAAATCCGCACATAGAGTCCGCTTCTGAAATAGATAAATTGTATGCATAATTAAATAATATGACATACCATTCATTACATTAATTGAACGTAGAAACATTTATCATTACTTCATTAATAAATTGTCGTATAATGTAACGATAAATTACCATAACAGTATTATACAATCGATAAATGATTCAATCGGTAACGCAATTAAAATTAATGAATAATCAGATTTTTATCAAATGTTTGATAACATAGGCCCGTTAAAGTATACATATTTTTGTATTAAAAATAATTATTCTGTTATCGAGAATGAAAAGTTATCACGACCCCACATTATATCAATACTTTAACCTTGATTTATTTAATTACTTCTCAAACGATACAACCTTATGACTAAGACGGTGCACAAACTGCTAGATACTCGTAGATGTCAGTGTCTTTTGCTTATGCATGGATTTGGATTTGGATGAATGAATGAATGAATGAATGAATACTTTATTGTCCACCACACATAAAAGGATACACAAAATTAACAATAGATGATGATCCATACGAATGTCTCTCCCACACCCTCCCTTTATCTGTCAGCCCTTACTACGTTTATTTCTATACCACTTGCACGATAAAAATATTATTTACACGCTTGTATTAACAACAAATTGTCGAACTTAAAATATATATTATACATACGTGAGTGCGTAATCAATAAGCAATAATTCTCTAAATTTTTTTGCTGTCATGTTTACGCTTAGTAAAGTATGAGATGAGCCGCAGGCACAATTAGTGAAAAGAATTTAGTTACAACAACCTTGACTACGTTAAACACAATTACGTTATAAAAAGGGCTTCAATAAGACAAGAAATACGTTCAAGGCGATTTCCTTGTCACCTCAAATGACGTCAATGTCGGTAACCGTATAACCGTATAAGCTTTATTTTTGTTCTTTAAAGAGGTAAATTATGCGTTTATACTATCTCATGTAATATTAGTTGTAGATGTAGCTGACCTTCAACACACTCCAAATACAATTGGAAGATAAATTTGACACTGGGAATTATTACAAATTGATGCAACGCTATTATACTAAATAACCGTTTGATTATTTGTAAAACGTGCAAGCCCTCCAATTCTTTACAATCAAAATAATATTACACGATAATAGTTGAAGTAATCTAATAGTAAACTCACGTTTTTGAGCTTGTTACAAAACCTTTACAGGTTGCAAATCTAACATCATTAGGTTACGCATTTTAGGATTAATTATATAATACATGTATTTAATAAATTTAATACAATGGACATTGTATTAAATCCAATTTTAAAATGTACGCAGATGATTTGAAAATATATCGCATCATTAAAGACAATGAAGATGTTAGATTACTACAGTCTGATATCGATAATGTATTTTCTTGGTGTACATCTAACTATATAGCATTGAATTTTGATAAATGTTTTCAGATAAAATTTAGTAGAAAAATACTAAATCGATTAGCCAACTTTTCACTTGTGAACCGAAAGATACAGGAAGTTGAACGCATTAATGATTTAGGGGTGATTATCGACAGCTCATTAAGTTTTAAAGACCATATTGATAACATTATAAATAAATCTTCACGCCTATCTGTGTTTATTAGCAGGGAAATGAAAAAAATTGGCCAACCATATATTAGTATACTGTTGTATAATTCTCTCGTGCGGAGTAAATTGGAATATTGTAGCAATGTATGGAGTCCTCATTACATTACTTATTCCGATCGAATAGAGCGTATCCATAAACGTTTTTTATACCACCTGTGTTACAATAATCGCACATGTCGATTATTTAAGTCTTACACTGATCGTTTGTCACATTTTGGACTTCTACCCCTGTCGTCACGCAGGAAAGCTGCTGACATAAGGTTTGTCTATAAATTAATAAATGGCATTATAGAATCCCCAAAGTTATTAGAGCGTTTATATTTTTCGGTCCCGCGTGCAGGTTGTCGTATTCATAATAGGAAAACGTTTATTTTGCCGTATAGTAGGACGAAACTCGGCCAGAACTCTCCTATGTATCGCATGCCTTCACTATGTAATACTATTACATTTGATATAGACATATTCACTGGTTCTTTGGCCTCTACAAAAAAGAAAGTGTCTAGGTTTTTTTCGGTCCTTTAATATCATTAAACTATTAAATAGTTTACTCATTAATTTAATTATTTAAGTATAATGTTTTATTGGGTTTTATATACAAAAAAAATAATAGTTTTTACTCATGTAATAGTGGTCAGTAGATAAACCTTTGTACCTAATTTTATATTGAGTCTCATTGTGTATGCTGTGTTTGCTATGTATAGAATGCAATCATTTTTTTTTCTGTGTATATTTCTTTTGCTATCATGCTAGATTGATTCGGTTAAGCAGACCTAATAAACTAAAAAAAAAAAAAATAATAATAAAAAAATAGATAATAAAATTGTAACTTGGTTCTATTACGCATTTTAGGAACTGATATTTAGTATTACTGTAGTTTTGTTGTCGACGTACCCCGCACAAAAACAAAAATATTCGCATCGTCATTTATCATCCGTACGGCTAAGGCATGGAACAATCTGCCGGCGTCCGTCTTCCCATCCGATTATAACGTAGGCGTCTTCAAGGCAAGAATGAATAGGCTTTTACTGATCTAACGCGCTTACCATCCACGGCTGCATCACCAATTACCATTAGGTGGGATGGTAGTCAAGCGTTAGTCAGTTCCACATAAATAAAAAAAATTAGATATTCATATCTCCAGAACAAAATTTTGTTGAATATTCGCGTAAATCCAGTATCATTTTACTTTTGCGAACTGCTTCAATTGAGTGTACTTTTTTGACTGTATTTAACATATCTCCTAGGTCAGCCTTGGTATGGACGTCCCTCAATGGGCAAGGCCTATTTTGGCCAGATTGGGGGAAGCGGCAAGACTGTCCTACCGATTATATTTCAAGACAGACGAAATGAAAAGGATCGGCGGTGGTGAGTGTTTAATAAACTATTGCTATTGGAAAAATAGCAAAAAAAAAACTTCAATTTGAGTCGCATTTGCTGAAGTAGTCACCCGAACAACGAGAGTCGTCAGTTGACTTTCAAAAGGGAAAAATAGTTAATTACACATGCAAGTTACATACATAATGTGTTATTTGCATGTGTAATTTTTTACGTTATATTCATTTCATTTTTATTGATCTATGCATAATCTCGGACGATCAGACTAAAGCCATGGTGGGAATCAATGAAAACATTATTTCCTCTCGGTACCACCCAGCATTAAGTCCGTCTATGTACTGTGTTTTGTGAATGAAGTTCAAAAAAAAAAAAACTTGCAGGTGTCATTCTTAACGATTTCGTCTCGGCGGCCAATGAGATCGCAGCAGGAAACTACAACCAGAAGAGGCTGAGGGTGTTCTCCGCCCACGATTTCAACATCGGAGCATTGATGGATGTCACAGGGATCTCTAGGAGCGAGCAAACTGTACCAGAGTACGGGTCGCTATTCGCACTCGAGCTGTATAGGTCCAAAATCAACGGCGAGCTCACCGTTTTAGTGAGTGATACATCTGTATTTACATACATACATACATATACATAAATACTCACCGTGAAGGGTAGTCAGAGATTACAGCACATATGCGCACTTCTTGAATTACTCTTGTATATATTTATGAGTATATATCGACGCATACTTAGAGAAATAATAAAAAAAGGCTTATACAAAATATATGCATATAAACCTGATGACCCGATTGGCGTAGTGGGTCGTGAACCTGACCCTTGCGCCAGAGGGTGTGGGTTCTATCGCCGCACCTGGAAAATTATTGTGTGATTGAACATTTGTTTTTCCAGTGTCCTAAACACTGTTTATATATGTATAATATATATTTATTTCCAAAACGAAAAGTATGTTTATCAGTTATCTAGTACACATAGTACAAGCGTTGTTTAGTTTGGGACTGGGATATTAAAAAAATATAAGTGCACTTACAAGCTCGATTAATTTTGAGTTGTTGCATTTTTAGTTCGATTACTCATACTGAAGTTTAGTAGTATCCTATAGTGAAATGTCAAGATTCATAGAATTTACTCATAGGAATTGAAAGCAGCACGCTGGCAATCCGTTGTGCATTACAGAAGAGTGCCTAGACGAACTAGATCTGTGTTCGTTATAACTATACGTAAAAGTAAGTTCACACTTATTTTTTGATTAATCAATTATATTTTTTTTGCAGCCGGTCTACCTCCCAAAGGCTGGGGAATCCGTCGCTCAGTATTTGCACTTCACTGGTTGCGAGAGCAGCAGCTATTGCAGCTATAACCGGTTCCTGGACCTTACTAAGCAGTACCTCCTCCCGGAGAAGGAATTTTACCAAATCTGTAACATCAAGACTGAACTGTGAATGTTTCGAAGAAGACTTCTTACCTTAAGCTAAAATTCATTCAGAGTGAAATAGATGTATTAATACATCCGATCTCCATACAACGGCTGATCTGTAGTCTCTTCTTTTAATTGTGGATGTAGCTGTAGAGGCATTTTATATATCACACACTTTATAAAGACGTTCACTGATAAAGTGACTGCCCAAAAGCCTAGCACCTGCCACTGTTCTACGCTGAGTTTAAGAACTACGAAAATAATCAGTTAAGGGACTTCCAGGTAGTATAGAAGTCTTAACTCTCTCTCTCTCTCTCTTATTAAGGGTGTATCAGAAAGTGTGATGGTTTCTATTCTGCAAGCTGCTATTGAGATAGAATTGAGTAGACTAGAAATCATCCAGTGGAAACAAGTGTTAGTGTATGCCATATAATGCCTCCGCTACCTGATGTTCCCGGATTGTTCATATTCCACTTTGAAGACGTATGTCTCAAGATAGGCTTTGCTTTTATTGGTCGCTTGCAAAAGCTTACAATAGCTACTAATAGCGATATATGGACAATCCTTGGTTCCGTAACGTTTTCCATTTGAGACTCCTACTTAAATAATTTTTTATGTATGTATTTTTCAGCATATTTGTGTCTCTATGGGACCTTGTTTCTTCAAAATTGTTTATTAATTCTCAGAAATTTTGTGAAAACCTGAAGATATATGAGTTGTGTGTCAAATATAATGCTCCCATTATGAAAAAAAAAAAATGGAATTTAATTACTTTGTCACAAAACAATATGTAATGTTAATAGTAAAAATCATTTGATTTGTATAAGAATTAATACCGGAACTATTCGATGAATATGAGACCGAAGTTACCATCTGGAAAGTATGAATTGAGGAGTTGTCATGTACAAAATATTTCACTTTATTTTAATCATATTTTTGACTAGGGCATATTATATATGAACATGTAGTCTGTGATATTTGTTAAGAATTTAATTTGTGTATGAAATACATAATCATGTATATATAATAAAATCTTCAAAGAGAAGCTTTCAAAGCCAATTTGATTTACGAGTTCTTATAATGTCAGTTTTATAACTAGCTAGTGTGACATATATATATAAGTGTGATTAATTTATTATTGATTCAGAATGTTCCATTAATGGATTGCCGTGCATCTGTGCCAATGTGGCTCTTTATTGTATGCGCTTAAAAAATTAAATTAATTATCTTAACGTCCGTTCGGAAAAATATTAAATAGATGGATCATCATCATGTGTTGTTCACAAATGATAAAATAAAAAAAAATACGCTTTTATGTAATTAACCAACCGTGCAATAAGGATTGTTATGAAGTGAACGTTAAATTTATCGATTTGCGATAAATTTTTGCATTTCATAGACCAACGCAATTAGACTGTTGTGCTCACTGATACTATCCCATTGCGGAAGTAAAGACGGTAACTTTTTCTTCTTAGGGATGTAGTCAATATAATAATTGATGCACTCTATTATTATTCCCATACATAATACAACAGTTGATGACTCCGTGGCGCAGTTGCCAAGGCATATTGGCTTCGGCGTCGGGGGTCGTGGGTTCGTTCGATTCCCACACGGGACAACAATTTGTGTGACCCAGAGGTAGTTGTTTCACATCTGGGTGTTTGTCCCCGTGAAATTTATGTTTGTAAAACGTCCTTACAACGCAGGATAATGTTATCCTAAAGTAAGGACAATGTCTTAAAAAACAAAAAATGTTCAAAAAAACAATAAAAAATGATAGTTATTTGTATTGGGATTTGAATTGAAAGTGGAGTGAGTGGCTATGTGCCACCAGATCCACAGCCTCATTATGGTGAGTACCGTAGAGGGGTAGAGGTAAGAACAACAAATAGGAATGTTTTGAAAGCCTTAGGAACTCTGGACGTGAACAAAGCTAGGAATTCGGACTACTGTACCAGGTTAACTATCGCTGGGTGAGTGCTAACGAGTTGTGTGTTGACTCTCCTGTTTCAGCTCTACTTAAAGGTCTGCATGGTTAACATTACTATCTTTAGTACAGCAGGTACTAAATGTTAACCATGCAGACAATATACCTTTCTCAATAATTTCCATACTGTCTTATTTTAAGTGTGGTAGGGCCAGGCAAATGCGAAGACGTCTGTTGCACAAATGGGTCCGTCCCGAGGAGTACCATGACGTCACAGAATACCATTGTTGAAGTGTTACATTTCTGCAAATCATCTGGTGATTGAGTTAATCGGAGCCCACTTGATTAAGGTGCCAACACGTCTGCAACCCTATTCGTGTTGTAAATTCCTATGGGCGGTGGTTATGACTTAATAACAGGTGGACCGCAAGCTTCCATGCCATTTCACATAAAAAAGTAATTAGCATATTAGGGCATAACTTTGGTCTAATTAGTTCGGTGGAAATTTTCTGAGTGCCCCGTCTCTTCAAGATGTCTCCGAGGTTATGCTTACAGTGATGTTAAGGATAAAAATAAACTTAGTAAAATTGAACCCTATATTTTAAACTGTCAAATTTACCACATTCAGTTTTCCCGCCTTAGGTATGATAGGGTTTTCGGGGCAAACTGTGATAGTAGGTCTATAGAACTGTTAAAATAAGAATACTCTAGATTGCTAGTCAGGTGGGTATGAGTAGGGTGTATTCATGATATTTTTTCCATTTTAAGTAAAAAATGGAGTATTATATATGTATTTCAGTATGATCAGATTATTATATATGTATATAAGAATATTTGTATGTCTGTTTACTCTTTTGGTTTATTATTTTGTAATTTAATTTTAGTAGGTAAGTTTTATTATTGCACCTGCCTAAAGATCTCAAGACACCATAGGTTGACTGGCAGATTAAGACATTAAGTCCGTATATTGTGTTTTTTGCTGTTTCGCTTTCACACATAGTTCTTCTCTATCTTTAATATAATGATTTCTACTTTCCTCTCTAAGCAATTCATAAATTTGTATATCCTCTTTTGTCTTCATTTTTGTGCCAATAATAAGTTCAAAAGCGGTAGTGTCAATACTTCTGTTATAAGTGCTGTTTAAGGCTCTTTGAAGACGACTCACATGTTGGTACCATAATGTAGGATTTTCAATACAGAGTTTGGTCAGCACAGAAATAATAATTCTATGAACTCGCTCCACCTGTCCATTTCCCCTGGGTACACCAGTAGTTATGGTTAGGTGCTTAATATCTTCCTGTTTGCAATATTCTTCAAATTCACTACTTGTAAATGCTGTACCCTTGTCAGTTATAATTCTATGCGGGTTACCAAAACATTGCTGATGCAGTCTTAATTTATCTAATGCTTCTTTACTGGTTGTGCTTTTGTTGGATAAATCCATGTGAATTTAGTAAATGCATCAATTATAGTAAGAATATAGTTATATTGTTTCTTAGTTTCCGTCATAGGCCCAATGTGATCAACATGTATTGTGTGCAATGGAACATCCTGTTTTTCAATGGGATTAAGAAATCCTTCCTGCTTTCCCTCCTTTCTATTCGCCAATAAGCATGGTATACAGGTTAACAAGAAATTTTCTATTTTCTTAGGTAAATTATTAATGTAATAATCTTTACTTACTAACTCTAACATCTTCTTTATAGAGAAATGACCATTTTGGTGGACCCTTTTTAAAATCTCATTTTCCATGCTCTTCGGAATAACTAATTGTTTGTTTTCTCCTTTATATAGTAATCCACTATCCAATATATAGTCTTGATAAGGTTGTTGTTTCAAAATTTCAATAATTGCTTTCAGGCCATCATCATTTTCTTGAGCATATCTTATGCTGTCATGTAAATCTGCAAATATGGTGTAAACAAATGGGTTCCTACTAAGCGCATCAGTATGTTGCATCTTACTTCCTTTGCGATGCTCAATACTAAAATCATAATCTTGCAAAAGTATTATCCACCTTGCAACCCTTGTGGACATTGCTAAATCCTTCTTATTTAATGTCATTTGAAATGCTTTACAATCAGTTATGATCTTAAAATTGATTCCGAATAAATAATGTCTAAATTTTTTTATGCCTTCAATAATCGCTAAAGCCTCAAGTTCATAGCTGGTATATTTGCTCTGTTGTTCAGTAGTCTTCCTACTCATATAATGAATTGGATGTAACTCACCATCCTCAACACTTCTCTGCATTAAGATAGCTGAATATGCAATACAAGAGGCATCTGTATGTAACTCTGTCGGCAACCTAGAGTCAAATATCCTTAATACTGGTTTTGTAACTAATTTCTCTTTTAATGTATTAAAGGAAACCCTATGCTCATTGTGGAATACAAACTCTACATTCTTCTTAAGTAAGTCTGTAAGTGGTTGAGCAATCAGTGCAAAATTATGAATAAATTTACGAAAATATGAACATAAACCAATAAAACTTTGCAGCTGTTTCACATTTTTTGGTTCAGGAAACCTTGCTACGGCCTCAGTCTTATCCAGTGAAGGTCTCACCTTTCCACCTTCAATTACATGTCCAAGATACTCAACCTTTCTAACTAAAAGTTGACTTTTTTGCCAATTAATTTCAAGACCATACTCACTAGCCCTCTTCAATACCTGTGATAATCGATCTAAAGCTTGGTCTTCGCTTTCCGCTGGAATTAATAAATCATCGATGAAAATCAAGATCACACCTCTATCTACCAAATCACGAAAAATTATGTTTATAAACCTTGTAAACACCTTAGGACACACCGATAAACCAAATGGAGCCCTCAAGAATTCATACTGTCCGGATGGGGTAACAAAAGATGTATATTTAATTGAATCTTCATGTACCCTTAAATGAAAGTAACCATTCCTTAAATCCAGCGCACTAAAAATTTTACCATTTTTACACTTATCAATGAGATCATCTACAATAGGTAAAGGATATTCATCTTTAATTATTTTCCTATTAATCAACCTATAATCAATGCAAACCCTAAGACTACCATCCTTCTTTCTTACTATTACTAATGGACTTGCATACTCTGACTGGC